CCTCCCACCACCCCCGTGCCGACAACGCAGGGACTTGACAGCTGTCTGTAGCTCGCAGCAGCATTTGGTTCCAGCTGTGCACATGGCAGGAGCAGCAGTGGGAACATGGTGTTCCCCACCTGCTCATTGTGTTCAGATGGATTGAGAATGTGTGTTTAAGTACGGTCTGTGTGCGTGGGTGTGTGGCCTACGTTTGTGTGTCCAAACTTCTATTCGTGAGGCTTATATCACAGCCTAGGAGCGCAAGCTAACGAGGCATGTCGTTTTTTTCTTAGTCAAGGCTTTAGAAAGAAAGAAAGAGAGAGAGAGAGAAAGAAAGAGAAAAAGAGAAAGAAAGGGAGGAAGGAAGGAAGGAAGGAGGAAGGAAGGAAGGAAGGAAGGAAGGAAGGAAGGAAGGAAGGAAAAGGAAGGAAGAGAGGAAGGGAGGGAGGAAGGGAGGGAGGGAGGGAGGGAGGAAAAGAAAAAGTAAACTATTAATAACACCTCCTGCCCAGTTCCCTCACTCCCTTTAGATGAAGTCAAGGTACATTTTGGTGTTGCCTGACCCTTTAATTACAGATGTAATTACAGGACAAACATTATTTAGCTTAAGCTACTTTCATTTATTGGTAAATTGCCTAGCTGATAGTTTTAAATAGAACATCTCTCATTACTTACATTTTTTTAGAGATAATAAGAGAGACAGAGATAGATGGATAGATAGATAAATAGAATATGAGAGAATCTTATATCTCTGAACTAGTTAAGATACCTCAACTAATTCCTGATTTGGGAATGAAGTGCTAGCCATTTTAGGCACCTTCTTCTGGGCCTCTTCCTTCTTGGATACCTTAATCGAAAGTAGTATCCATTCATTCACTAATTCTTTCATGCATTCATCACACACATATTTATCAAATATCTATGCCAGTGTGTCTTACATTTTGGTATTTATTGGATTACTCAGGTGTTTGTTAAAAATACAAGTCCTACCATAGTCCTGTTGAATCTCCAAGGGGTAGGTTCCAGAAATTTGATTTCTAGAAAGCCTGTTTTAGGTATGTTCTAGAAGTACAAAGATGAACAGAACAGTCCTTTCCCCTTACTGTACTATCTATAAGTGAACAGGGGAGCTAGTGCAATGGAAGTCCACCCGAGCCATGAAAGAAATATGTAGGGGCGCCCATGAGAGGGAGCTGTGACTTCCATCAAGGGGAGGACATAATCAATACTGTGGTGTTGGCTCTCCGTCAGGCTGGCCATGGGAAAATGCTCAGTCTTGTGTAGAGTATACTTGATGCTTCCTCCCATGCGGTAGCATCAGATGTGGAATGAAGGAACACATCTGGCCCTATATGTCCCACTCTGGCAGCCACACAATGGATTGGGAGGAAAAGGATATAGGGAGGATCTGACAGCTCGTCAACACTCTCATTTCTGATGAATCTCTTGCAGGTTTCCTTTTGTCAGTGTGGTAGAGGACAGACATCCACAGAAAGGCAGTTAGAAAGCTCAATGGGCTTAAAATCAGGAAACCTCGGGTCCAGATGTGGCCCTGCTACTTGTTAGCTGAATACCCTACTTAGCCTCTCTCTCTGTGCCTTGTTTTCCCCAGCTGTAAAGGCAGGTCATATCTACACTATAGGGTTGTTTTGGGGAATTATATAAAATGTATATAGTACATAAACTGCCCAGCATTGTGCCTGGTATGGGGTTATTGCTAATAAACAGTATTTATTTTTATTAATAGTAGCAATAATGATGGATCCCCACTTGTATGCCCAGAGGTGACTCCTCAAGCCACGAAAGTCAACCTCCATATTGCAGTGGCTCTCACCTGTTCTGCCTCAGATCCCTGAGGATTGTGATACCCACCTTGGCTGTCCCTTTGGCCCACCGGGGCAGTGATCCTCAATCTGGAGCACATTCTCGTAGCTCAGGTTGGCTTGCTGAAAATCCTCAGGGCGTTTGGCCGCTCCCTCCCTGCCCCCACCAAGACCGTTGCTCCTCACTCCTGCCCCAGAGATGTATTGCTTAGGGCAGTGAGTCTTGAGTGTGCTTGTTAGCACCTGCCAAACAACCTTTTCAAATACACATGCTACATCCCACCCAAGACCTGATGAATCATAATTGTGCCATGGAGCCCTGGTAAGTGTCTTTGACCTTCCCAGGCAGTGCTGCCTTACAGGCCTGGTTAAGAAGTACTGTCTTTGTGGCTTTCTCTCTGCTCAGGCTGACTCATTCAGCTAGCGCAGCAAAAAATTATGGTGCCCACTTGGCTTTGTAAGCTCAGATAGACTGACCCTTTGTGTCAAACTAAGGAGGCAGAGCCTCTGGTGATAAGGTTCATGTACAAGAAGAAGGAAGGAGGAAGAACTCTGCAGGTGAAGGGCTCTGGACACAGCCCGGGACAGGATCGTACGAGGTACTTCGCCAAAGCCCCTAAGTGTTGTATGCTGGTCTTAGAGACCTTAGTTCCTTGAAAGACCTGTTTTCATTTTAGTAGAAGAGACTCCGAACCCAGGAATTAAGGAACTGATTGGCTGTTTGGGAAGCGTTCAGAAAATGTGACAAGAGGTGTCATACGCAGGCTAGCAGCAGAGATCCAAGAAAGGAAAGTGCTTCGGCCTGGGTTTTCACTTTCCTTCTTGCTTCTGAAATGAGACTGGGAGAACAGCGGCGTGTTCGCAGCGGATAGGGAGATGCGCAGCCCTGCCCGTCTAGGACTCCCTCCCTAAGTTCTGTGAACAACACCTCGAGCCCCAGACTGCCTCCACCTTGGATATTTGTCTCTCTCATCATTCATACTTGAAGTTAGGGGCTCCTGGTTGCTGTGCAAAAATAAGTGTATTCACCTGGGCAACCGAGTCTGTGCCATGTTTCTGCCCCCTGCCAGGAGACTCAGAGCTAAGATTTGAGCAGAAGATGGGAAGTGATGAGCTCAACAGAGGGAGCAAATTCTGTCTTCTCAGCTTCCTTTAGATCCTCCAGAAAAGAGCTTTCTGGCTCCTCGGAATTAAGACTGGTAGAGGTCGCCCGACTGGATCAGAGATTGGGAGAGAAAAGTACTGAAGTCAAACGAGAGATCTGTGAAGTACTTTGAAAGAATACAGTCCTCCTATGTGCATCCAGAGGCTACTTCAGTGATTCTATCACCGGTACTGGCTGTAGACATCAGCTGGGGCTGAATGTGATGCTCACCGCCCTGCATTCATCCCGATCCCGGAGCCAGACCTGAGCCTGCACCCTGCTTTGCAGAGAGGTGATCTGCTGGATCTTGAACTTCCAGCTTAGGTGATTGCATAAGGTATTCTGCTTTATCGGGTCCTTCAATAAGGCGACTTCTCTTTAATTTCTCTGTTAATCTCTCCTGTTAACAGATCCTATCCTCCTGGGCTTACCCTTAAACCGCCTGCCGATTTGAAACCTGCAGATAGCATAATACAAGCTGGTACTCTAGCAGTTGTCGAGATCTATTGTAGGGCAACCAGCATGCCCAGAAGAACTAGCCATTCACCTCGCTCCATGCTATTCCCGTCAGAGAGAACATGGAAAAGATTCTCTCCTCTTTTGACCAGCACCCCCCTCCTTAACTAAAAGACGGTGTGTATGCATCTGGAATGGGGGCGGGGGGGGGGTTGGAGTCCAGCTTTCCTGCCTCCACAAAGACAAAATGGTTCATAGCGGGCTAGAACTGGGCCATCATTAGGGGAGCCTCCAGGCCTCTGGGATCTGAGGGAACGGTGGGCCGTGCCTTGGCCAGGATGAGATGCCAGTCCCGGGCTCGGATGGCCGGCTGAGCCCTTCCCAACGTGACTTTCTCAGGCGAACTCCCACTCCCGACACACAACGTGTATACTTTAGGAAGATTTCTGCAACGTGACAAAGTGCAATTTAAAATCTGGCTTCTCCTTTCCTGAGCTCGGACCCAAACTTGTCCTGAAATAGGAGAAGGCGCTGTAGGCAAAGGACTGCAGAGGCGGAAGCAAGCGCCCGGCGTGGCCGCCGTGACGACGAACTGCCAGCAGGTGTCAGTGCACCCTCGCTCAGTCGTGGCGCGTAGCCGCCGCCTCCGCGACCCCTCCTCACCGCCGTGGAAGGGGGCGCGGTCCGGACCCCGGCCGCCCGTGTCCCGCACACTCCTCTGTGGTTCAGACCACACGTGGCCTCCTCTCCCCGGAGCGGAGCTCTGGCCTTGGGCGGGTCCCGCTCCCCGGGGGGTACTTCCCAATTCCGCCCCGGGGGGTTCGAGGCGAACGCGTGCCTTCCTTCTCACCAGCACCCCACTCTCCTCGCCGCCAGGACCAGGCTGCTTCGGATGCTACTGGTACCGGTGGATGCTGCTCCCGATTCGGGCCGGGGTCCCCAACTCTCTTCCCTCCCAGGACCCAGCTCGATGGGGGCCCTCCCCGGGGCCCGCTGCTTTCTGCTGGGCCGGCCCGGAGCTGCTCGGCCAATTCCCAGCAGGGGCCGCTCCCACTCCCCGGGCACGCTCTTTAAACCCCTCGCTCCAGGTACCCGCCTCTCCAAAGAGCCCGTCCGGCCAGGGGGCCAGCGCTCCCCAAGGTCCCACACGGGGCGCGGGCGCTAGACCCGCGGAGGGGAGGCGCAAGGGGCGGGGGAGGGTCGGTTTCCCACGTGGGGGCTGACGCCGGCTGCTCGGCAACGCCAGCTTGATCCTGGGGCTATAAAACCAGTCCACGGTGAGCGCGGCGGAGCAGCAGCGGCCCGGGCTTCGCTGCAGACGCCCAGCAGCCGGCGCGCCGCCGCCCGGCCACCCCCAGCACCTTCTTCCCCTAGCCCTGCGTTCCTGCCCCAACTCACGCTGCCCTCGGACCCCGGCCCGTCCGGCTGCACTCAGCGCCCGCCGCTCGCCGGGCCAACGCCCAGGAGACCCTGTGCCTCGGCCGCAGCTCCGGGAGGGCCGATCGCCCACCTGCCCCGGCCCACCTGAGGACGGGGGCGTCTTCATGCTGCCCGCACACGGCTCGCCCCGCCGCCGCCGCCCCCGAGCTCCGCGCGCTGAGCCCCAGCCCCAGCTGGGCACGCAACTTTGGAAGTCCGGCGGCGCTTCGGGAGAGGCGGCAGAGTCCGCACCCCAGCCCCAGCCCGGGCCCGGCCGGCACCGCCGCGTCTGGGGGAAAGCGAGGGAGTCGGTAATCGCTGCTTCGGGGATGTAAGAAGACAGACCTAGGACCCCAGGCCCGCATCAGCGCCCTTCGGCTGCCTCCCGGGGTGGGGGCGGGCCCCGCACACGGTAAGACCTCTTGCTTTCGCTCAGGCTCAAGAGTCAAGATAGAGATAGATTTTAAATTTTCTGTCATCCCTCCAAGTGATCAGGCCACCGATGATTTCTGTTCTCCCTTCTTGAAGAATCAATCTCCCTTTCCCCATCGGCTCGACCTACTCTCTCCCGCCGCTTAGAAATAAAACTTGTGCTGAGCTGGGCAGGAGAAGGCGCCCACCACGAGGGCCACAAGCGCAGGCCGGGCGCCGTTCGCGGGAGCCGGGCCCATGGGCTGCTAGCGCCCCCCAGCCCCCACCCCCCCGGCAGCTCGGGCCGGCGTCCCTGCGGCCCCCTCCCCATGTGAGGCGCGGCAGGGCGAGCGGGGCGCGGGAGGAAGAGGAGGACCCACTGGCGCAGGGCCAGAAGGCAGCTGGCAGCAGGCCAGGCAAGCGGGCACCCGCGTTCATGTTCCGCCAGGAGCAGCCGCTGGCCGAGGGCAGCTTCGCGCCCATGGGCTCCCTGCAGCCGGACGCGGGCAACGCGAGCTGGAACGGGACCGAGGCGCCAGGGGGCGGCGCCCGGGCCACCCCTTACTCCCTGCAGGTGACGCTGACACTGGTGTGCCTGGCCGGCCTGCTCATGCTTCTCACGGTGTTCGGCAACGTGCTTGTCATCATCGCGGTGTTCACAAGCCGCGCGCTGAAGGCGCCCCAGAACCTCTTCCTGGTGTCTCTGGCCTCGGCCGACATCCTGGTGGCCACGCTCGTCATCCCTTTCTCGCTGGCCAACGAGGTCATGGGCTACTGGTATTTCGGCAAGGCGTGGTGTGAGATCTACCTGGCGCTCGACGTGCTCTTCTGCACCTCGTCCATCGTGCACCTGTGCGCCATCAGCCTGGATCGCTACTGGTCCATCACGCAGGCCATCGAGTACAACCTGAAGCGCACGCCGCGCCGCATCAAGGCCATCATCGTCACCGTGTGGGTCATCTCGGCCGTCATCTCCTTCCCGCCGCTCATCTCCATCGAGAAGAAGGGCGGCAGCGGCGGCCAGCAGCCGGCCGAGCCGCGCTGCGAGATCAACGACCAGAAGTGGTACGTCATCTCGTCGTGCATCGGCTCCTTCTTCGCTCCCTGCCTCATCATGATCCTGGTCTACGTGCGCATCTACCAGATTGCCAAGCGCCGCACCCGCGTGCCGCCCAGCCGCCGGGGGCCGGACGCCGCCGCC